GAAGAGAGGGAAGGTAATGCGAGTTAAGGGGGAGGGGGAGGGAGTGGAGGGAGAGGGGGGGAGGGGTAAGGGTATAATTGACGGTTGAAAAAAAAAAAAAACCGGGTGGAAAGCCCCCCCCCCCCCCCCCCCCCCCCCCCCGGGGGTTTTTTTTGATTTGAACCTGACTTCCCTGACTTGGACCTTTCACTCTCAGCCCACCCCCCCAACATACACTTTGTGTACCTGACCACAATCCCCGGACGACCCGACTTACACGACAAAAATCGCGCGCTGCCAACTGGACTCTTGTTTTATATTCTGGGAACCATCCTTCCTGATTTTAGGTTTCGACTTGTTTTCTCCAATCTCTTTCTCTGAGCAGTAGCACAGCAGGAGCTACCTACCTTACTTCCTACACCACCGACTTACTTACTTACATCACTTACATATATCTTCAACGAATAAAACGATGGAGGGTAAGCGAAACCTCGTCGATATTCCCTTTTCACATCCTTGAAAAGCAGCCAACTAACATGCCCCTCCACCCAGACGACCACTTCCTCTACGCCCTCAGCTCCAACAACGCCTGGGCCGGGTACAAATCCCACCAAAACCCCCACTTCTTCCCCAAGCTCGCAGACGGGCAAACACCCCAGATCCGTAAGCCATTTTCCCCTCTCTCAAACAGTCCTCAAGCTAACAGACTCCCACCAGTCTGGCTAGGCTGCTCCGACTCCCGCTGCCCGGAAACCACAATCCTAGGCCTCCAACCCGGCGACGTCTTCGTCCACCGCAACATAGCCAACATCATCGCCCCAACCGACATCAACACCTCGGCCGTGATCGAATACGCGGTTGCCCACCTCAAGGTCAAGCATGTCGTTTTATGCGGGCACACTTCCTGCGGCGGTGCCGCTGCTGCCCTGGGCGACTCCAGGGTTGGGGGGGTGCTGGATACGTGGCTTGCGCCGTTGAGGGCGGTGAGGTATGCTAATAAGGAGGTGCTGGATGCGATGAAGGATGAGAGGGCTAGGGGGACCAAGATTGCGGAGTTGAATGTTGAGGCGGGGGTCAATGTCTTGATGGCGAATGTGACGGTGAGGGAGGCGATCGAGGAGCGGGGGTTGCAGGTGCATGGGTGTTTGTTTGAGATTGGGTGTGGGGGACAGCAGATTTTCGCAAGTCGGGAGTTGAA